CCTGGCTGGCCGCCTCCTGTCCCCAGCAGCATGGGGGGCCTCAGCAGGTGGGGTCCTGGTGTGACCTCTACAGGGCAAGGCAGTGGGAGCCGGTGTCTGTCGGACTCCGGGCTCGCAGCGCTGAGGCCACTGGGGCTGTGGGCGGCCGGGCACCACAGTGAGCGGAGCCCCATGGGCAGGCGGGTGAGGGGCTGCGGTGCAGCGGCTGCCTCGCTCCAGCCCCCCTCAGGCAGCGCTGGCTCGTGGGGCTGCGCTGCTCGGGGGATGGTGATGTGGAGCTATTTATTTCTCCCCTTCTGTCTCTGGGGCAGTAGCTGGCTGGATGCAGAATGGGTCCCTCCTGCCCCTGCCCACCAGCAGCTACCATGAACCTTGCTGTAACAGGCAGGGGCAGTAGGGCTACACAGGCAGGGTCTCTTTGGCCCAGGACAGAGGGGGTTTGAATATGGCTCACTGGCCCACTGGGTGATAAAAAGTTCATGATCCGGCTCCACATTCAAAAAGGTTGGACACCCCTGACCTAGAGGTTCACTCTTCCTCTGGGGTTCTGTGGTAGGGCAGAGCCTGGAGTTGCAGGGGGTGGGGCTAGGGGGCTGAGCTTACAGCAGCTCCTCCCCCCAGGCCACCAGGGCACCATGCACAGCGGGAGCGTATGGAGGGCTACTGCCTCTTCAACCATGTGGCCATCGCTGCCCGTCACGCCCGGGAGCGCCGTGGATTGCAGCGGTGAGCCCGGACACCTGAGTTCTCTAGGAGGGGGCGGGGGTGAGAACAGGGGAGCTTGGTTCTCTGGGAAGGGAGAGGGACTAAAAGTGGGAAGCCCAGATGCCTAGATTTTTTTTTTTTTTTTCCTCAACTCCTGACATCATCGGTTCTAGGGTCCTGATTGTTGACTGGGATGTCCACCATGGGCAGGGAACCCAGTTCATCTTTGAAGATGACCCCAGGTCAGGAGTGAGGGACTCTGGAGCTGCGGGGGGGGGGGGCAGTCTGTGGGTCAGGAGTGAGGGGCACCACAAGACTGTTGGAGACAGGGTATCATACAACACCCCCAGCGTCCTGTACTTCTCGGTCCATCGCTATGACAACGGGGCATTCTGGCCCCATCTCCCGGATTCTGATTCATCGGCTGTGGGGCGGGGGCAAGGCTGTGGCTTCACCATCAACCTGCCCTGGAACCAGGTGAGGGAATCCCAGTGTCTGGTCCCACCTCTGGGGGGATCCGTTCATCAGCCACCCCACCCCAGAGCTGGGTGCATTGTGGTTCTCCTTCCAAGACTTGTTTATACCTGGCTGTTTAGCCCTGGAGCTGGCTGCATCTCTGCTTTATCTGTGCCCTGTTATATGTGGCCATTCCCCAGCCCCTCCACCCCAGAGCTGGGCACATTTAGGTCTCCCCCTGGGGTGTTATATTCAGCTGTTACCCACTGCTCCATCCCAGAGCTGGTTGCATCTTGGGATTCTTTCTAGACTGTTATACTCAACTGCCTCTAGACACCCCCGCCCCAGAGCTGGGCACATTTCAGCCTTCCTGTGAGGTGTTATACTCAGCTGTTTCCCAGCCACTACCCCCTCCTGGCAGGCACTTCTGGGATTTTTCTCTAGGCTGTTATACTCGGCTGTCCCCAGGTGCCCTCAGCCCAGAGCAGGCATGTGGCTGATTCTCAGGTGTTCCACCCCAAATCTTGGCACATCTCAACTCTATTTGTGCCATATTATACTGGATTACTTCTCGCCTGCCTCCCCAAGAGCTGGCTGAATCTGGGCCACCTTTGTGCTCCATTATACTTAGCTGCCCCCAACCCCCTCACCCCAGAGCTTGGTGCATCTTGGCCCCATGTCCCTCACCCAAGCCCCTGCTTCTATCCTAGCCTGGCATGACGGACGCCGACTACATCTCCGCCTTCCTCCAGCTCCTGCTGCCTGTAGCCTTCGAGGTACTGGAGGGGGACCTGATCTCTGCCCATTCCTAGGGGGAGATGGGTGCCTCTCAGCCTTTCTGGGGGGGGGGTGTTTGTACTAGAGCATTTCTGGCTGTCCCACCCCAGAGCTGGCTGCACTTGGGCTCATTTTGGGTGCTGTTAGCTTGCCCATTCCCTAGCTGTCCCAGCCTTCCCCATGGGGTGTTAAGCTTAGCTGTTCTACCCCAATACTGGGTATGTCCTCACCCTCCCATGGGGTGCTTATACCCACCCCTTTCCTAGCTGTTCAACCTCAGAGCTGGGTGCATACTGGCCCTTTTTACAGGGTGTTGTCCTCAGCTGTTCCTAGATGCTGCACACTAGACCTGGGTGCATCTCAGGCCCCCATACCCAGGTGCACCACCCCAGAGGTGGGCAGATCCTCCTCCTTTTGTGGGGCATTATATTCAGCTGTTCCACGCCAGAGCAAGCTGCATCTCATCCCTTCCATAGAACATTATACTTGGTTGTTTCTGAGTTCCACCCCAGAGCTGGGTGCATTCTAGCCCTTTTTATGGGGTGTTATACTTGGCCGTTTCCAGCTGCCCCACTCCACAGCTGGGCACATCTCAGCCCCATCATAGGGCATTATATCCAGCTGTTTCCTGGCTGTTCCACCCCAGAACTGGGTGCATCCAGGGGGTTGGAGGGCTTTGAGGAGGGAGCAGTTCTGGGCTCTCACCCAACCCATTCAATCCAGTTCCAGCCCCAGCTGGTTCTTGTGGCTGCTGGCTTTGATGCTGCCATTGGGGACCCCAAGGTGAGTGGTGAGGCAGGGCTAGAAGGGCCTGGGGTGGGGCCCAGTAGCAGGCAGGGCTAAGGGCACCTGGGTGGGGCTTGGAGGGTTGGGCATGGGATGGGGTTGGAGATGAACAAGACCAGTGGGAGGCTGTGGGTATGGTTAGAGAGGTATGGGACAGGACGTGGAGGTAGGTGGGGCCAGAAGGGCAGGGTCCCGGAGACAGGTGGGGCTAGAGGGGCTGGGAGTAGGGGCCCTGGCAGTCTAGGTTCTGCCCACCCCCTCTGCCCCCAATCCCTATTCTCCTGTTGCCCCCCCTCCAGGGGCAAATGTTGGTGTCACCTGCCTGCTTCGCCCACCTCACCCACATGCTGCTGGCGCTGGCTGGGGGGAAGGTTGTGCTGGCCTTGGAGGTAAGTGATGATGACACCCCCCCCCCTCCCCAGAGCTGGGCACGTTCCTGCCTGTTATATGCAGCCATTCCTCCCCAGAGGTGGCAACATCCTGGCCTGTTGTACCCAGTTGCTCTCCCTGTTCTGCTTGGCTACCTGGGCTTGTCTCTTCCTTGTTATACTTCATCGCTCCCTACCCCGTCCTACATCATTCTCACCCACTCCTGACCTCTTCCACACCAGAGCTGGGCATATCCTGGCCCCTCACCGCCACCCTCCTCTCCCCTCACAGGGCGGCTACAACCTCCACTCTCTCACTGAGGGGGTCAGTGCTGCCCTGGGGTCTCTCCTGGGAGACCCCTGCCCCCCACTGGCCGGGCCAGCTGCCCCCTGTCCCAGGTAAGTTTTGTAGCAGGGGGGAAAAGGGGAGGTGGTGGGGGCTGTGATCTTGGGGTGCAGAACTTAACTTTACATCCTGTCTCCAGCGCTCTCCAGTCCATCTCAAAGGCTCTGGGTATTCATGCCCAATTCTGGCCCTCTCTGCAGCATGTTGGTGAGTCTGGATCTGCCCTGGCAGGAGGGTGTTGTACTTGGCTGTTAACATAAATGACACATAAGCATTGACAGTGGGGCAGGCAGAGCTCTGCTCTGCTGGCTGCACTGCTGCCATCAGCTTAGAAATCTGGGGGAGCACATTTTCCCACCCCCTCACATTGCCTATGGCTGTTAGCCCATTGTGGCCAGCTCTGGGCTGAAACATCTCAGCCATTCCTATGCTGTGAGCTCTCCCCAGGTCCACCCCCTCAGATGGGTTATGCTCAGCTGTTTCACCCCCAGAACTGGCTGCACCTCAAATCTGTCCATGCCCTGATATACTCAGCAGTTCCCCAGCTCCTTCTACCCCAGAGCTGGCTGCATTTCTCACTGCCTGGGGCAGGCTTACACAAAGCTGTTGCTTAGCTATCACACCCCAGAGCTGGATGCATCTCTGCAATGTCTCTATTCCCCGCCTCCCCTGCAGAGGTCTCGGCACTTTCCACAGAGGATGAGGGAGTAGAGGAGGCACTGGGGGAGACAGGGGGGGTCCCATCCCCAGTGGAGCTGCCCTGCCCAGAGGCTCTGCCTTCCTTGGAGGCCCCACCACCACGCCGCCCCCCCGCCTGTACCGGCTTGGTCTATGATGAACGCATGACCCAGCACTACAACATGTGGGACAGGTAGGCCTGGAGTTGCTGTGGGGAGGCTACTGGATTCCTGGGTTCATGGGGACAGTGGCTAGGGGGCCTAAATCCCAGGGTCTTTGTGAGGGCCTAGTCACCTGGGTCCTGGCTGGAGGTTCCAGATGCCTGGGCTCATGGGGTGGGGCTGGGGTGGCCAGATGCCTGAGTTCTCAGGGTAGTGAGTGGATTCTGACTGCTGGCAGGGAGGGTTGGCAGCCTGGATGCCAGGGTTGCCCACTGCCTGGCTGTGCAGGGGACTCAGATGTCCAGGCGCTGAGCCTTCCCCTGTCTCCTACCAGCCAGCACCCAGAGCGGCCACAGCGGGTGACCCGGGCCCTGAGCCGGCTGCAGGAGTTGGGGCTGGAGCGACGGTGCCTGCGCCTGCCTCCCCGTCTGGCTACTGAGCCCGAGCTGTTGCTGTGCCACAGGTACTGGATGCCTGGGTTCTCTGGGCTGGGGGTTGAGGGGTGAGAATAGCAGGGGTGCTGAGCCCAGATGCCTGGGTTGGGGTGGGGGGGTGGAGCAGGGGATGCTTGGAGCCCAGATGCTCCAAGGGTGCTATGAGGGTGAGGGGCAGAGTGCTACACCTGGACTTCTGGGTTTTCCTCCCCCAGCCCAGAGTACGTGGCCAGACTCCGGGCCACAGTTGGGCTGCGCCCGCGAGAGCTACATCGTGCTGGTTCCCGCTACAACTCAGTCTACATGTGTGGGGAGTCCTTTGAAGCTGCATGCCTGGCAGCTGGCTGTGTCCTTAGCGCTGTGGATGCCGTGCTGGCTGGGCAGGTGTGTTTTGTTTAGTCTCCCGCTGCGCGCCGCCGCCCCCCCCCCAGCTGGGCACCTCTTGACCCTATTTGGGTCAGCTGTTCCCTGCCTGTTCCACCCCAGAGCTGGGTGCATCTTGGCCTCATCTGGGCCCTATTATATTTGACCATCTCTCAGATTGTTCTACCTTAGAATTGGGTGCACCTTGGCTTTGTCTGGGTGGGGTTATATTCAGCCCTTCCTTGCCAGAGCTGGGTGCATCTCAGCCCTTCTCCTGTAGTGTTATACCTGGCCAGTTTCTGATGGTCCAATTCCAGAGGTGGGCATATCTCAGCTCCATGTGGGTGGTGTTATACTTGGCTGTTTCCTACCTATTCCACCTCAGAGCTGTGGGGGCGTCTTGGCCAGAACCAGGCAGTGTTATACTCAGCTGTTTTCCAGCTGCCCCACCCTAGAGCTGGGCACTTTTTCAGCCTTGTCTGGATGGTGGTTTATTCAGCCTTTCCCAGTTGTCCCACCCCAGAGCTGGCCACGTCCGATTCCTCCCTTTATGACATTTATATTCAGCCATTCCTCAGCAGCTCCATCCCAGAACTAGGCACAGCTTGGCACTTTCTTCACTCTGTTACACTTGTCTGTTGCCTAATTGTCCCACCCTAGAGCTGGCTGCATCTCAGCCCTGTCTCTCCACCCCCCAGGTGCAAAATGCAGTGGCCGTGGTGCGGCCCCCAGGGCATCACGCAGAGCCTGATGCTGCCTGTGGCTTCTGCCTCTTCAATTCAGTGGCCCTGGCAGCCCGCTATGCCCAGCAGGTGGCTGGCCGGCCCTTGCGGTGAGCCTGGATGCCTGGGTTCTCTGAAACTGGAAGGTGGGGAGCAAGGGGGGCTGGGAGTCCAGATGCCTGGCTTCCATCTCCCCCACAGGGTTCTGATTCTGGACTGGGATATTCACCATGGCAATGGAATCCAGCATATTTTTGAGGAAGACCCCAGGTACTAGGGGGAGGAGGTGTTCTGCTTGGCTGTTCCTCTCCCCTGTCCCACCCCAGAGCTGGGTGCATCTTAGCCCTATTTGTGCCATTATACTTGCCCTACCCATTCCCTATTTATACTCAGTCATTTGCAGCTGCCCCACCCCAGAGGTGGGTACATCTCTGATCCCCGTGGGTACATCTCTGCTCCCCTTCTCCCCCCCCCCTCTTCCCCCCCACCCCCTGCAGTGTGTTGTACATCTCCCTGCACCGCTATGATGCTGGCGCCTTCTTTCCAGGGGGGCCAGCAGGAGGAGCAGGGCAGGTGGGGCGGGGGCAGGGGCGGGGCTACACCCTTAATGTGCCGTGGGAGGAGCCTCGTGCCGGGGACCTCGAATACCTGCCTGCCCTGCTGCGCCTCTGCCTGCCTGTCGCTTACCAGGTGTGCCTGGATGCTGGGGTTTGTTCCTTGGGTGGGGTGGGGGATGAACACCTGTGTCCCTTCCCCAGGGGGGTGGAAGGGTTCCAGACATCTGGGTTCTATTCTGGCTGGGTAGGGGGGCTGGACACCTGGGTTCTTTCCCCTAGTGGTGCTTGGGACACCTGGGTTCTGTACTAGTCTGGGTTCTCTACTGCCAACTCCTGGGTTCTCTGCCAGTGCCTGGGTCCACTACCCTTGCCCCAGGTTGGGCAGAGTGAAGGGAGAGGGGGGATTCCCAGATGCCTGAGTCCTCACCCCTCCCCATGCACATACAGTTCAGGCCGGAGCTGGTGCTGGTGGCAGCTGGGTTCGATGCGGCACAAGGCGATCCCCTGGGCGGCTGCCTGGTGACCCCCCAGGGCTATGGCACCATGGCCTGGCTGCTGGCTACGCTGGCCTGCGGCCGCCTTATCCTGGCCCTTGAGGTACTGAGCCCACTCACCAGCCCCTGACCCCACCCCTTCAGCCCTAGTCTTGCCCCTTCAGGGTCCAGGCCCTGCCCCCTCTGCCAGGCCATACCCCCTTTAGCCCAGGAGCTGGCCCCACCTTCTCCCTAGTCTCCACCCCCTTCCTGTGCAGAGGCTCCACCCACCACCCTGGTCACACCCCTTCCAGGATCCTGCTAATGTCTCTTGTGGGAGTCCTGACCCAGGCCATGTCTCCACATCAATTCTGACCCCTCCCCTGCCTCCTAGGGACCCTGATCCTATAGGGTGGAGACACTGGGTTCTCTGTGGGTTGGAAGAAGTAGGCGGGGTCAACCATAATATTATCAGTAACATTTGCATGTGCAAATGTGGATCATAGCATTCCCCCTGCTGTAAAACTCACCCATGGCCAAATTTGCATGTATGCTCCTGCATGATATCTATGCAAACAGCATTCAAATTTAGGCAATAAATATGCCAAGATACATAAACTGCATTCAGATGCCCACAGACCTAAATTGGTCATGCAAATGAAATCAGATGTATGCAGCTTTAGTTAGTTAGGCAAATCTTCATCCAGTTAGTTTGTATCTGCCTGGTTTATCCAAATGTATGCTTGGATTATGTAAATATATACCTGATTTATGTGCATCTCCATTGATTTGTTCCTTGAGCAGAGTTCTGCAAATCCCTTGTCTGATTTGTGTCTCTTGAGCAGTTTTGCAAATCTCTAAAAATTTATGAAAATCTTGAACATAATTATACAGACATAGCTAAAATATGTCAATCTTACTCATGTTTCTGTATCCAACATACCCCAGCCACCGTCTGTTGTATGCAGTTATTCTAATTTATGCACCTGTATCCCCATATATCCCATGTGGTTCTGAGCATTGCTGGGGACAGACTGCTGTCTTCACCCCTGTGGCTGGGGGGGAGGCAGGGACTCCTATTATGAACCAATGGGGTTCCCTCCGAATTTGTCATGGCAACTGTTGGCTGGGGTTTTTTGGGGTTTTTTGTTTTTTTTCCTCCTGTCTCCCCTCCCCACAGGGTGGCTACAACCTGGCAGCAACAGCAGAGTCCCTGGCCACGTGCGTCCGGGCACTGCTGGGAGACCCCCCACTGGCCCCACCTCCAGTCCTGGCACTACCCCTGTCTCCACACCCCCAGCCCAGTGCTCTCCATGCCCTCAGCCTGGCCAGCGCTGTGCACCGTACCTACTGGGCCTGCCTTCGTCTCCATGGTGAGTTGGATGCCTGGGTTCCTTCCTTGGGGCGGGGGGGAGGGTCCCAGATGCCTGGGTTCCTGCCTTTGGGAGGATGGGGTCTTGGATACCTGAGTTTGCCCTTGGTGGGGCCTGGGTGCTTGGTGCCTAAGCCAGGAGGGCCAGGATGCCTGAGTTCCTGCCTTGGAGTTGGAGGGGGGCCCAGATGCTTGGGTTCTTTGGAAAGGGGGAGAGATTGGAGAGGGGGTAGGGGCTGGGAGCCAGGATATCTGAGTTCCATCCTCGCCTTTTCCCTCCCAGTGCCCTCCATGGACTGTGATGCCTCTGAGGACAGAAGCCCAGCCCCCCAGGAGGCCCTGCCTCCTGATGACCTCTCCTCCCTGGGTTCCCTCTCCCTGGAAGACAGGTCCCAGGAGGGGATGGGCAGCCCAGACTCTGTCCCTGTGGGCTGGACCAGGAGGAAGATGAAAACAGAGCCTGAGTTGGAAGGGGTGGGGATTAACCCAGAAGGGGAGGAAGGTCCTCCAGAAGGGGCGGGGCTTGCAGCCCCAGATTTACCAGAGGTAGGTGATAGAGGGGTTTGGAACCCAGATACCTGGGTTCTCTGAGAAGGGGGTGAGGCTAGGGGGGTGACAGCAGGGGAGACTGGGAGCCCAGCTGCCTGGGTCCTTATTCCTCCTCCCCACCCCACCTGCCCCATTCCCTCCAGGATGCACTCTATGCTGTGACACCGCTGTCCTGGTGCCCCCACTTGAGCTCTGTAGCACCAGTGCCCCCAGCTGGGCTGGACATCCTGGCACCGTGCCAGAAGTGTGGGTGCCAGGGTGAGAACTGGGTCTGCCTCACCTGCTACCAGGTGAGCCCATGGTAGCCTGCACTTACTCTCTTCCCCCCCCGCCCCCCATAGTTTTGCTGTGCCCATCATTCCTGACCTGCAGCCCTTTCCCCCCTTCCCCTCAATATATTAACCCCTTGCTTCCCAGGTGTTGTGCAGCCGCTATGTGGCAGGTCACATGGTTGCCCATGGTGATGCTTCTGGCCACCCCATGGTCCTGAGTTTCGCGGACCTCTCTGCCTGGTGCTATGACTGTGAGGCCTATATCCATCACCCAGTAAGTCCCACCTGCTGCCTGGGTCATACCCCACCCCCATATGATCAATCAGCAGCTGGGATTCCCTCCCTCTTTCAGCTCAGTTGAGTTCCGGCTGCAAAGTTAATTTTCTGGGAGGGAAACATCTCCCCTCCCCTACCCACCAGCACCTGTACAGTCTGAGCCACTCAGCTTGGGAGGGGCTGGGCTGGGTCACTCTATGGCAGAGCTTTCCAAACTTTTCATGTTGGTGACACACTTTTTAGACATGCATCATTTCACGACACAGTAATTCAGTTCCGGGGGAGGGGCCAAGGGAAGCAGACGCGAGTAAGGGAGCTCCGCGGTGCCCTTCCGCAAAATTTTCTGCATTTCGTGCGACACACCTACATGCTGCCGCCGACACACTAATGTGTCACGGCACACAGTTTGGAAAGCTCTGCTGTACGGTATAGGGGGGATGGGGTAGTGGGAAAGTCCATTCCAGTACAGTAGGAGGGAGCTGGCATGCTCTATTCAAGAGCGTTAGGGAGATGCTGGGATGATCCACTCTCTGTGGTGACTGAGATTTTCCATTATCCCTGAGGGTGGGGAATGTTCTACCTTGCCTTCTGTGAGCCCTAAGGTTTCTAGATTGTTCCTTTCTCTGTAGCAGTGCAGGGGAAGTTGAGATGTTCCCTTATTCCTAAGGGGGCTAACAGTCCATTCCGGGATGAAGTTTGAGGGGAGAGGAGAGAGAGCTGTTCTATTCTTTTTGATGGTGGGGAGAGGGTAGGATGTTTCATTATCACAAGGCAGTGTTGGGCTGTTCTGTTCCTTATGAGGGGAAGGATGAAATGTTTCACTCTTGGGCTAAGGGTTGGGGGGTGGAAATGCGGGACTGTTTGATTCTCTGCAGTGATGGGGAGGCTGTTGGGCTGTTCCATTTCTCCTCCGTTTCTATCCTCTCCTCCCCCTTTCCCCCCCAGACCCTTTTGCCGGCCAAGATCTTGGCTCATCGCCTCAAGTTCGGCAATGAGCTGCCTGCACTACTTTGAACCAGGCCAGTCACCAAAGCATAATCATCCCTCACCCCATCCTCGGACAATGGACTAACCCAGACTCTTCAAGGGCTATACACACTGGCAGAAAAACAGCAGCTCAGCAGCCGCCAGGATGCACTAGCCGCTTTAGGATTTAATTCCCCCACATCTACATGAGATCTGTTTCTACCCCAGCCCTAGTTGCCACCAGCATTAGTTACATCAAGGATTATTGTAAGACCTACAGTAAGCCAAAGGGAGAGGGAGGTGTCTTGTTCCTCCACCACAGCTTTGTCACTTGTGATGATGTTACAATAAAGGTGGGAGGGTGCAGTAGGGTGTGGTTGTCTGTCTCTTCTGCTAGAGGAGGGATTTACATGTCCAAGAACTATGCCTCCCCCCCAGTTCATCTCAGCCTCATGGAGCCAAAGGACCCTTTTACATTTCTTTTATAAAAAAATAATTTTCATAGTTGTTAGGGGCTGGAAGGGACCTTACAGATTACCAGGTGCAGGCCCCCTGCAGTTCGGCAGGAAAGATTGCTGGGATGAGGTGATCCCAGCAAAATGGACATCAAGATGCTTTTTGAAGATTGCCAGTGTGGGTGACTGTACCACTACTGGAGGGAGCCTGTTCCAAACCCTCAGCATGTGGACTTCTTTAGAAGTTTTTCCTTATGTCTAGTCTGAAGCAACCCTCAATCAGTTTGTGCTCATTGTTTCTTGTCCTCCTCTGGGGGACCTTGGTGAATAGAGACTCCCCCAGGCCCTGATGGTGGCAGCCTATATCAGGAGCATACAAGTCCCCTCTGAGTCTTCCATGCTCCAGGCTGAACAGTCCTAAGTCTTTCAGCCTTTCCTCATATGACCTGCTCTCTAGGTCTCTAATCATGTACATGGCCCTCCTTTGAACTCTCGAGCTTCTCTGCTTCCTTCCTGAAGTGTAGCAGCCAAAACTGGATACAGTACTCCAGCTGCGGTCTCACCAAGGTCAAGTAGAACAGGACAATGACACCTTTAGCCCTGCTTGAGATGCCTCAGTAGATGCATGCCAGTATTTGATTAGCTCTGCCAGCTATGGCATCGCATTGGTGGCTCATGTTCATGTTGTCTATCACAACACCCAGGTCTCATTCAGTTGTGGTACTGGGAAGTGTCATACTGCCGGGCCTGTAAAGGTGTTGCAGATTAATTCTCCCCAGATGGAGCACTTTGCATTCCTCCATATTAAACAACAAGAAGTTGAGGTCCACCCACTGCGTGAGCCTCTGCAGGTCAGTCTGTATTGCCAGCCTGTCCTGGAGCGTGACCATACTCCCCCATAGTTTGATGTTTTCAGCAAACTTTGCTAGTTTGCTTTTAATACCCAAATCCAAATAGTTGATGAACATGTTGAAAAATACTGGTCCGAGTACTGAACCCTGAGGGACACCACTAGTTACCTTCTGTCATGATGAGTCAGTTCTATCAATCAATACTCTCTAGGTACTACCTCAGGGCCAGTTACCTAGCCACCATACTGTAAAGTAGTCAAAGCTGCATTTTCCCCAATTTGATCATGAGGACATCATTGGAGAAGAGGTCAAAGGCCTTTGTGAAGTCTAGGTACATTTAATT